ATCTATCTACCTACCTATCATCTATCTACCTACCCATCTATCAATCTGTCATCTCTACCATCTATCTATCTATCTATTCATCGATTACCTATCTATCTATATCTATTATCTATCTATCTAAAACATCTCCTTTCCAGTACATGGCAAACAACAATAAAACAGGGGGTAGATGAGTTTCTACCGTAACTCTGACAATCTGGAAACCTGCCCCAGCTGCTTTGTCCTCGCCAGTTGTTTCCATGACATCCTCCACCATCCTCACCCCTAAAAGCACTGCCGCTCATCTTCAGGGCAGCGCTGAAGGCACAGATAGCCATTCGTGGCCCCTATTTTTGGAAATATTTTTTTCCCCTAAAACGTGGTTAATTTCCTCCAAAGTAGGATAACGAAATCGGAGTGAAAAGAGAGTGAAAACATTGCATTTTCCTCGATGCTTTTTTGTGTAGACGCAGAATCCTAATATTATCACAACTCCAGACACCTGCCTTGACATCCTTACAGAAATTCCTCACGTTTCTGAGCTTCTCTCTGTATGTTCCTATAAACCCTCTGGCAATCAGATCATCACTGGGGGAAGATATTGCATGTATTTTCCCACTTTTCCCTTAACCTCGGAAGACTGCAAGTCGGTTGGTTCGGTTGGTTTCCAGCCTCTCCCTTCCCAGCAATACGTAATGCAAAATCAGGTTTCACACAGAGGTTTCACACATGTGCTTCCCTCTGTTTCCTGAGTTTTCAAGAGTCCTATAATTTATTATGTGGCAGGTTAAGGGAAAATATGCAGAGAACAGATGGGCGTGTGTAAGGGAAACATGTAACGATGTGCTGAAACCAGTTCAAACCTCCAGATATATTTAGGGGAAAGGAGCAGAGTGTTCTATGATCTGACGAGAGCTTCCTCCTTTCTGTTCATTGTCATGAGTGGGTGGAGACGTGAATCCATGGTTCCACCGTGGAGATGAGAGTCTTTTCACCATCCACGTTAAGTCAAGCCATGTGGGGATGATAGGTCCACAGAGGGATCCAGAGACGCTCCCCTGGAAGGCTCAGAGCAGCCAGCGCCCCTTTCCCTACCAAGCCCCGTAAACAGAAAGAATGAAGCTGGGATCTATGTTCCCATGTGGGTGAGCCTCAAATCCATGATGCTCAGTGAGAGAAGCCAGACCCAGAAGAACACACGGTGTGCGATCCCATTGACTGGAAACGTCCAGAACGGGCCAGTCCACAGACACAGGAAGTGGGTTTGTGCTGCCAGGGGCTGGGGGCAGGGGAACGGGGAGTGACGGCTCCCGGGGATGGGGTCTCCTTTGGGGGAATGAGAACGTTCAGGAACCGGAAAGAGGTGGTGGCGGAACAATATTGTGAGCGTGCTAAATGCCCTTGAATACCTCACTTTTTTTTCTAATAATTTTTTTTAATTTTATATAATTTTTGAAGGTTACTTTGTCCTTACAGTTATTTTTTTTTTTTTTTTTTTTTTGCGGTACGCGGGCCTCTCACTGCTGTGGCCCCTCCCGTTGCGGAGCACAGGCTCCGGACGCGCAGGCTCAGCGGCCATGGCTCAGGGGCTCAGCTGCTCCGCGGCATGTGGGATCTTCTCAGACCGGGGCACGAACCCGTGTCCCCTGCATCGGCAGGTGGACTCTCAACCACTGCGCCACCAGGGAAGCCCTGTCCTTACAGTTATTACAAAATATTGGCTGTATTCCCTGTGCTGTACGACAGATCCCTGTAGCTTATTTATTTTCTACATACTAGTTTGCACCTCTTACTCCCCTCCCCCTATCCTGCCCCTCCCCCTTCCCTCTCCCCACTGGGAACCACTCATTTGTTCTCTACATGTGCGAGTCTGCCTCTGTTTCGTTATATTCACGAGTTTGGTGTAGTTTTTAGATTGCATGTATAAGTGAGATCATACAGTATTTGTCTTTGACTTGTTTGAGCATCACGCCCTCCAAGTCCATCCACGTTGCTGCCAATGGCATGATTTCATTCTTTTTCATGGCTGAGTAGTATTCCACTGTATACATGTACCACATCTTCTTCAACCATCCACTTGTTGGTGGACACTTAGGTGGCTTCCATGTCTTGGCTACTGTACATAGTGCTGCCGTGAACATAGGGGTGCACGGATCTTTTTGAATTAGGGTTTCATCTGGATATATGCCCAGGAGTGGGATTGCTGGATCCTATGACGACTCTATTTTCAGTTTCCAAATGTAGGATATGTTTGAATTGTTTTCTCAAATGGCCACTGTGGACAAAGAATACCACCTGCCATTCTGATAAACAGTGAATGTTTCCTGCCATCAAGCCATCAGCCACTGCAGCTGGCCCCAGTGGTGCACTCTCGGATGGAGGAAAACAGTATCCTGGCCCTAGATAGATAAGGTGCATATCCAAGGAATGATTTCAGTGAGCCCAGACTCTCGCATCTTCCCGTGCATAGAAAAGTGTGAAACTCATTGACCTGAGATGTCTGGTTTTTTGTGATTAGCAGTAACTGTGATGTTCAACTGCACGTGTTTTTTGGGCGCTTTTTTCAGCAAAAACTCCTGTATACCCAGGCTCTTCCCTGAGCTCTTTGGAGCCTCCTCTCAGAGCTCCGAGAGTCTGTCTCCTGGGCTGTGGTCCTCAGTCAGGTCCCCGAATCAAACAGAACTCACAGCTTTTAGGCTGTGCATTTTTCTCCGTCGATGCCCCCCAGATTCTGTAAGCTTCAAGCCTGCACAAAACCTGGATCATCTAAATGTACTCCGTTCCTTGTTGGGATGCTGGTAGTTGTGGTGATGGTGCTTTTCAGCTTCTCAGGAAAGCAGGCCCTGGGATTATCTGAGCATTTAATCCATGGATTCAATGCAGAGTGAACCCATTTATCTGTAGAACGTGTGTGAGCTTTTCCTCTTCCCGGAGCTGACTGCCCCATGTAGGCCATTCACATCTTGTATACCTTCACCACTCGCCAGTGCCCATCATGCTTTGCAGATACTTTATTTCGTTGGCTCAGTGGAAAGAATTAGGTTGAAGTTCTTGGGCTGCGCTCTGCGCAAAGATGGCAGACCTCCACAGATCTTGGAAATACGGTTTCAGTCGCAGGCTCATTGTGTCCTGTAGTCAGAAGGGTGACAAACGCAAGACAGGAAGCCCATGAGTGTACCTGAGTTTGGGATTTTAAGCACAGTCTCCTTATTCTTATCTTTGGAAGGCCTGATATCTATTGGGATTTAAATTTGAAATGTCAGATAATGATCCCTTGTTTCCTAAAATACTGTAGAATTAAGTTTTGTTCCTATTTTCTGTTTTACAAATTCAGTTGCTTTCCAGTGAAGTCCTCTGAAACCACCCTGGAGAATAGGTGGGTCTATTTAAAGGAAACGTTTAACTCTGGCGGGAAATGATGATAGAATCATATTTGCGAAATACACATGGCCTGATCCAGCTTTTTACATCTGGTGTTCCTTGACAGCCCTCCTTTTTTCAAGCCCCTGCCTGTCCCCTACCCCGGGCAATGGTGTTTCCCTGAGCAAGTTACGACTTAGACAAATTTTGCTTCTCACAGCTCTTTACTTATTTGATTTTTCCCCCATCCCAGGAATTAGGGTGACCAGGTCGTCCCAGCCTACCTGAGAAGTTCATGGTTTTAAAACTAAAGTCTCCACATCCCTGGAAAGTGCTCAGTCCCGGGAAAATCTACAAAGATCCTCAGTGTAGCAGGAAGCTGTTCTTTGTCCTGTCCTGAGAATCCTTCACTCAAATTGTGGTGGCCTAATGGAGTATTTATTAGGTGATAAAGGGAACTTGATTGGTCTGAATCCAACACTTACGGACTGGGGAACTTGGGACCAGGGTTTCTATGACCCAGTAGGTGGGGGGGCCCTTCCAGAACTCCATGGGGCTGCTCTCTGGGCTCCACTCTGCTTGCCCACACACCCCAGTCTTGCCTACTGTCCCACTATTCTTGTTTTCATGAATAGAGACATCGGCTTTCCTCCCTCAATACCATGTGTATTAGTCTGAGGTCTTGAGAGAAACAACAGCAATAGCAGTTAGATAGATGGGTGGATAGATAGATAGATGATAGGCAGATAAGCTTGGATGGATGGATGGGTAGATGGATGGACGGATGGATGGATGGATGGATGGATGGATGGACGGATGGATGGATGGACATATGGATGGATGGATGGACGGATGGATGGATGGACGGATGGACATATGGATGGATGGATGGATGGATGGATGGTTGGATGGATGGATGCACGGACGGACGGATGGATGGATGGATGGACGGATGGATGGATGGATGTATGGATGGACGGATGGATGGATGTATAGATGAATGGGTAGACAGATAGACAGATAGAATCTCCCATGCTAACATGGGGTTTCTTGGCATCAGCAACCCTGACATTTGGGTCTGTACCATTCTGGGGTGGGGTGTCCTCTGTACTTGTACGATGTTAGGCAGCATCCCTGGTCTCCACCCACCAGATGCCAGTTGCACCCCTACCCCCAAGTTATGGCAACCGTAATGTCTCCAGATATTGCCCAGTGTCCTCTGGGGGTACAGTTGTCCCTGTCAAGGACTGTGGGATCTGATGAACACACCGAGGACCCTTTAGAATATGCTGCCTTTTGTCTCTTCCCTGTCACCCACCGGGACCAGAAAGGATGACACACAGCAGGAACATCTTTCACTTACTCGCCATGCTTCTGAGCAGCTCCTCCCTGCACTGTGGAAAGTCCCTGGCTCTCTAAGTGGGCTCAGATCCGCCTGGCTTCATGGATCCAGCAATGAAGTATTGCCACATACTTGTTCCATTCTGAAAAGTGCTTGTGGAACCAGGAATAAAAAAAGAAAGTGTTGTAACCAAGCAGAAGAAGGTACGGAAAACCCTGCCCCTCCTACCTGTTGCCCTCAGGGGCCTTTGCGCCAACGATTGTAAAACTATAGAAATAGCAGACGTGGTTCTGTGGTTGCTGTGGTTGTAACATGGATTATGTTACATGATGACACTAGTGGAGCTTGCAAAACTCCCCAAAGATAAGCACACCCCACAGATTTAAACGTGGCCAATTAGAACATTAAAAAAAAAACAAAAAAACTTATCACTGCCTAATCTTTGCAAAAGGAAAGAAATAGTTTACTTCATGGTCATTTGAACTGCAAACCTACCAGCCGTCTGTATACAGAATATCTGCTGACATTGCTGAGTGTGGTTTTGTGGACGATTAAACAACTGTATAAATTAACAAGAAACATTTGCACATTTCTCTCCTCTCTTTATTCCGGAAACAACCCGTCCACAATTGAAAAAGTATTTTGTGTCACAGGCCCACGGGATCCTTTTTGTTCAAACTGTGTCCACGAGAGGGCAGCTGACGCCACTTCAAGAGTCTCTCCCCTGGGATGTGAGAGGTATTTTCATTCGTCCAGTCGATTTCTGTCACTCGGCTTTAAAAGTCACTTCCTTCCGGGGAGCCAGGACCCTCATACACAGCTGGGTGACTCGGAAGGAGCAGATGCGTCTCAACCAACCTCATCTTCCGAGACAAGACAGTTCACACCGAGGTCTACATGCTCTGCGTTGATCATCTACACTCATCAAATCATGCATGCTTGGACGGCTGGCGCAGGGTAGGGAGTTCTGCATTTTCAACCCCAATAGACATTGGAAGCACATCAGCCACTCCTGTTAACAGTGGCCGATGCAAAGCAGCTTTGCTTTGAGGCCCCCTGGCGGGCACCAGCCCCGCAGTCCGCGAGCCTGGCTCAGCCTCTAAGACCACGTTCTCCAAGGCTACCCCTGGGCTCAGGTCCCCGCGGAGACAGTCACCTACTGAGCGGGGCTGTCCCACCCCGCCAGGTCTGTAGGCGGCACCGGAATCTCCCTTCACGTGCCGTGCTTACCTCTTAGCTCGTGGGCTGAGCCCTGTAACCGTTTCCAAACATGCCTCATCCCACCCTTTTCTCGCTCAGAAGACAGGCTCACCACCTGTGTCTCCATGCACATTTCAGGCTGTGGGGACCAGGCGCTGCTTCCCCCTGAGAGACACACATATCCGCATCTTTCATCCCCATGCCCCGTCTCCCTTGGGATCCTACTGCCTCTGTGAATTCCCTCTGGTCCAAATCCCTACAGGACACCTTGAATGATTGTAAACCTGTAAACGTGCGTGTATCATTCTCCTGAGTAAAATCCCTTCCAATCGCTCCACGTCATTTAGAGCAGGGATCGGCATATATTCATTTTTTTTCTTTTTTTCTTGGAACTGGTCGGGGAGTAATTGTATCTCAGGCTTTGCAGGGTATCTGGCTTCCATGGCAGCTCCTCGACTCTGCCACTTTATTGCAAAAGCAGCCATAGAAAATATGTCAGGGAACCGGCGTAGCCTTGTGCCAATAAAACTTTTTTACGAGAAACAGATGGTGGCCCAGATTCGGCCCATGCGCTAGAGTGGGTCGGCCTGTGATCTAGAGGATAAATCACAACGGTCAGGCGTCGCATGGAAAGTTCTTCATGACCTGAGCTTGCTGACCTAAACTGTCCTCTCTTTCCTGCCATGTCGTCTGAAGCCAGTGGATGCCTGCGTCCCCGTGCGCCATAAAAAGATGCTGAGCAAAAACCAGTGACACGTGCAGACCCGGTGACACACGCAGACTGTTTTGGCACCGGGCACTCTGTCGGGACCCTGTGATGGGCTCATTGCGTCCCATCAAAATCCACATGTTGAAGTTCTCACCCCCAGGACCTTGGAAGGGGGCTGTATTTGGAAACAGGGTCTTGAAAGACGTGAGGAAGGTAAAATGTGGTCACTAGGGTGGGTCCTGATCCCACAGGACTGGTGTCCTTACAAGAAGAGGAGATCAGGACACAGACGCGCAGAGAGGGGTGACCCCATGAGGACACAGGGAGGAGACGGCCGTCTACACGCCCAGGAGAGAAGCCTCGGGAGGGACCAGCCCTGCCCACACCTGGATCTCAGACTCCAGCCTCCAGGGCGGGGAGAAATAAATGTTTGTTATTTAAGCCTCCTTGTCTGTGCTACTCTATTACGGCAGCTCTAGCAGCTCATCTAGGCACCATCTCAGCGTCCCAGAAATGATACTGCTTTGTGGCTTCTCAACTTATTTGGCTGTAAAGCCGGGCTTGAAATAATGGCTTTCAGGGATTTGGTGCTGTTGAGTTGGAAAGGCCCAACCTGTGAGAGATTCAGAGGTAGTCAGTCACCTCACTGCAGCTCAAACGAGGACCTGAATTTGACACTCCTCGGAAATCTGAACTCCCACCTCCAACCCCTGGCCCGTTTCCTTTGCATTTGGGCATCACCTTAGGAGCATGGCTTGGTTCTGGTTTTTCCATTCTGCTTTAGTTCATGAGATGCTACAACGGATGGATGTATTTTTCTTGGTGCAAAAACCTTCACGGTTTTGTTTTTTTTTTTAAATATTTAATGCAGTTTCTAGTCTGGCTGAGGAAAGTGGAAAATTTTAGGCAGTGGTCCCAGGGTTTCAGACCGTTTCCAAACTCTTGCTGTTGAATACAAATATCGTACGTTCCTCTTTTCTGTGATCCACCCAGACTGGCTTTCTCTGTTCCTCACGTTCTCTGGGTTCTTTCTTCCATCTGTGCTGCGTTTTGCTACCTTTAAAACATATTCTCAGTGTGTTTCTGTTAAATGGCATTTTACAGGCCTTTCGAGGAATCGCCGTGTCTGCATTTGCATGTTACACGTTCTCGGAAGGGTAAAGGTGTTTGCACCTGCCTGCTTCTTCTCACACCTGACGTGTGCTTGTGTTGGCTGAGGTGCACAGACCTTACCGCGACACGACAGCACAGTTTCGCCCAATTCTTTAAAATCCACTCGTGCGTAAATTGCAGACGAGCGACTTAAGATGCCTCGTCCAATCTCATTAAATACGAGAGAGGCGGAGAGAGCCATCCGGAGTGTGTAAGAGCATTACTGTGTTACCGCAAAAACGCAAAAGCGGGATACTCTTAAATCAGAAGGACTGTGCTTAGTTTGTTTTTCTCTAGCCCCAGTCTTATAGTATTTTCCTTCCTAGAACTTCATAACATCGGTTGCAATAAACACATCTTACTTTATTTGCTGCTCAGAAGTGGCTCTTCATACCCACAGGCCATGTTCATCAAAGGTACACACAGTCCAATGGAAATTCCACTGATAATTTAAACGCTGGACAATGAAAGCCGCTACTAACAAACAGAAAAATCCCTGTTCCCTGCAATCTGTGGGACTGTTAATAAGGAACTGGTGTGTCCCACTGTCTTTGCCATATTACAGACCCAGTTCTTCTAAGGATGTCTCCACTTACTGCTTGTGGAAACTTGGCCTCGTTCCCCAATTTCTCTGGGCTTCTGTTCCCTTAGCCGTGAGTTGGAGATGAAAACGGTGCCCATCCCAGGACGCCGGTGACTTCACGGGTTACCCTGTCTCTCAAGAGCTTAGGGACGTGTCTTTAAATATTAGGAAGAGCCAATGCCCGCTGTCTGTCTTTCTCTCTCATCATTCTGCGTTTCAATGCCGTTATCTTGTTCGTGTAAGAAAGCGAGATTTGGTCAAAATCCATACTAAAGTCATCTTATTTTTTAAAATTTTATTGGAGTATAGTTGATTTACAATGTTGTTTTAGTTTCAGGTGTACAGCAAAGTGGTTCAGTTATACATATATTCATTCCTTTTCAGATTGTTTTCCCATATAGGTTATTACAGAGTATTGAGTACTGAGTAGAGTTCCCTGTGCTATACAGTAGGTCCTTGCTGTTTACCTATTTTATATATAGTAGTGTGTATATGTTAATCCCAAGCTTCTAATTTATCCCCACCCCCCGCTTCCCCCTTTGGTAACCATAAGTTTGTTTTCAAAATCTGTGAGTCTGTTTCTGTTTTGTAAATAAGTTCATTTATATCATTTTTTAAAAATTAGATTCCAGGGCTTCCCTGGTGGCGCAGTGGTTGAGAGTCCGCCTGCCGATGCAGGGGACACGGGTTCGTGCCCCGGTCCGGGAAGATTCCACATGCTGCGGAGCGGCTGGGCCCGTGGGCCATGGCTGCTGAGCCTGCGCGTCCGGAGCCTGTGCTCCACAGGGGGAGAGGCCACAGCAGTGAGAGGCCCGTGTACCACAAAAAAAAAAAAAAAAAAAAATTAGATTCCACATATGAGTGATATCATATGATATTTGTCTTTCTTTGTCTGACTTACTTCACTCAGTATGATCATCTCTAGGTCCATCTATGTTGCTGCAAATGGCATTATTTTATTCTTTTTTATGGCTGAGTAATATTCCATTACACACACACACACCCCACATCTTTTTTTTCATGTTTAAAGTAATTTTTATTTTTTACACCTTTATCGCAGTATAATTGCTTTACAATGGTGTGTTAGTTTCTGCTGCATAACAAAGTGAATCAGCTACACGTATACATATATCCCCCTATCTCCTCCCTCTTGCGTCTCCCGCCCACCCTCCCTATCCCACCCCTCTAGGTGGTCACAAAGCACCGAGCTGATCTCCCTGTGCTATGCGGCTGCTTCCCACTAGCTAGCTATTTTACATTTGGTACTGTATATATGTCCATGCTACTCTCTCACTTCGTCCCAGCTTACCCTTCCCCCTCCCCGTGTCCTCAAGTCCTTTCTCTAGTAGGTCTGTGTCTTTATTCCTGTCCTGCCCCTAGGTTCTTCAGAACCATTTTTTTTTTTTAGATTCCATATGTATGTGTGAGTATACGGTATTTGTCTTTCTCTTTCTGACTTACTTCACTCTGTATGACAGACTCTAGGTCCATCCACCTCACTACAAATAACTCAGTTTCACTTCTTTTTATGGCTGGCTAATATTCCGTTGTATATATGCACCACATCTTCTTTATCCATTCATCTGTCGATGGACACTTAGGTTGCTTCCATGTCCTGGCTATTGTAAATAGTGCTGCAGTGAACATTGGGGCGCATGTGTCTTTTTGAGTTACGGTTTTCTCAGGGTATATGCCCAGTAGTGGGATTGCTGGATCATATGGGAGCTCTATTTTTCATTTTTTTTGTTTGTTTTTGGGTTTTTTTGCGTTACGCGGGCCTCTCACTGCTGTGGCCTCTCCCGTTGCGGAGCACAGGCTCCGGACGCACAGGCTCAGCGGCCACGGCTCACGGGCCCAGCCGCTCTGCAGCATGTGGGATCCTCCCGGACCGGGGCACGAACCCGTGTCCCCTGCATCGGCAGGCGGACTCTCAACCACTGCGCCACCAGGGAAGTCCTATTTTTCGTGTTTGGAGGACCCTCCATCCTGTTCTCCATAGTGGCTGCACCTGTTGACATTCCCACCAGCAGTGTAGGAGGCTCCCTGAGAGAAGTCTTTTTAGACTGAGCGGATGTCAGGTATTTGCTGAGACCAGGCGTCAGAGCTCCCAGGGCAGGCTGTGAAGTTCACAGAAGTTTCCCCTCTACCAAGTGCCCTCGGTTTGAGCTCACGTTTGACCCCCAGATCAGCCGCCTCGCATCCTGCATCCTGCCTTGTGCACCCTCCGCAAGGCCCCCGTCTTAGTCCGTTCAGGCCGCCGTCACAGGATATCACAGACCGGGGGTCTCATAAACAACAGACATTTCTTTCTCACAGTTCTGGAAGCTGAACCCCCAAGATCCCGGTGAGGCAGGTTCTGTGTCTGGGGAGGACGCAGTTCCTGGTTCCTGGACGGCGTCTTCTCACTGTGTCCTCACCTGGAAAAGGGGCGAGGGCGCTCTCTGCGTAGTTATCTTGTCAACTCGATCTGTATTAACATAACGACCCATATCGTGAGTGCAATAAGTCGTTGGTGCGTTCGTTACCGTGAATTTTAACCACAATCTAAGAGTCAGCCTTATACTTTCCTTACGTACAAGCTTTCTCAACTTCTGCTGTACCTAGCACCCATTTATGTCAAAAACAAGTCTTCTCCGCTTGACTTTCTCTTTGAAGTGAAATGCAACTCACTTGTCGAACACGTGCTCTTCTGGAGGGCGAATAACGATTTTGATTTTTGCCATGTGTGTTCACAAGGTGTCCTAAATCTTGATGTGAACCTGTGACAGCAGTGAATTCTTTGAACACGCAGCACGTTGAAGCCCTGTCCCGTGAATGTGTTCCCACATATGATAGTGTCCAACGGAGGCCAAGCCTAATGCTCTGAAATATCACGATGCTTTAAAGTCCATCCGCTGAAACACTCAGAGAACAGTCACCAAAACAGCTGATATCTTTTGGAAACAGCTGTTCTACTTCTGTTATTTTATTCAGAATCCTAAAGTGGGTGCAGTTGGCTGAGTAAAGCCCCCGTCTCCCCAGATGTCCGTTCTCGAAAGCTTGGAACTCATGAGTATGTTATCTTATGTGGCAGAAGGGACATTGCAGGAGTGATTAAGGGTCTTGAGATGGGGAACTGACCCTGGGGTACTCAGGTGGTCCCTATATGTCTTGACAAGGGTCCTAGTAAGAGGCAAGCAGGAGGGTGGAGTTAGAGAAGGAGATGGGGGGAGAGATTGAGAGACAGAGAGAGATTGGAAGAGTGTGTGCTCCTGGTTTTGAAGATGGACAAAGGGGCCATGAGCCTTTGCTGAGCCAAGCCATGGAGGTGGCCCCTAAGAGCTGGAAGAGACAAGAGGACAGACTCTCCTCTGGAGCTTCCGGAAGGAGCACCACCCTGCCCACCCATTTCAGAGTCTAACCTCCAGCGGACACGGGTTGCAGGGGTGTACCGTGTGATGAGAGGGGAGAAGTGGCCAGAACCCCCAAGTGCAGAGCGAGCGCTTGGCTTGTTTGGGGCTACACGTGGAGGGGAGCATGGTGGTCCTCCAGAAGCTGGCATTTGGGGCTCATAAATCACAGTTGGCCCCATCTCTAACCTGCCCCGACGTGAGTTATTCTCTGACACTCTGAGCAGAAACTGCTGGTTGATAACTGAAGCCCATTCTCAGTTGAGCTCAAGGTTTTTGCCTTTTGAAGAGGGTGATAATGTCCCCAGATTACTGTACAGATTACGTCTGCTAGCCTCTCATTCAGCTAGGTGTGGCCCTGTGACTAAGTTCATAG